CAATCAGTTTGTTGAGACAGCTTCACCACTTACACCATAAAGTTTTTAATAAAGCCCAGGAGCAGTTCTTTGGAGTTGACTTTGAAAAGAGTCATCCCTTCCTCTGACCTCCAACCCCTCCCATTCTAATCTATCCTCATAAGGGCTTATAACAAACCAGTGGCTTTTAGAAAATGTGTTTCCATAAGCAGAAAGGAATTAAAAATATATCCTGGACCTTACCATCTTAACACCTCAGTTAATTTTTTTCTTCCAGATCCCCACATTGGTAATCTGCCTCTATCCAGATCCCTTGCCTACCCTGAAATCTTTACTCGGGCCCATATAATTGTTTGGTTCTGAGGAGTTCTTGCCCTCATACCCATTTCTCCCATCAGAACTTTCCTATATCTTTAACTTGAAGAATTCCCAAGTGTATATATATTTTATGGCCCTGTTTTTTTTTCTTGTTAAAATAACACACACACACTCACACACACATTCACAGCTCAACATATAATCCCTGGGATTCTCACACTTAATAGCTCATGATTAAAATAGAACTGAAGACAATTAGAGAAGAATTCTTAGCAGAACATTCATTATTATTATTATAATTATTATCATCACTACTACCACTATTACTGCTATCATTTGAAAAATAATGTTGTTTCTTGCTTAGTCCACTTTTCAACTGGTCTTAGAATAAGAACTAACATCAGGAAGCACCTCTTTGCTTTCTCCTGTGTGCATGCCAAACAGCTCTAAAACAGAGGTGTGTTTTTTTTCTTTGACTAGTAGTCCACACAGTCATACCAGGGACCTCACTGCACTTTAAGTAAGCTTATCTCTGATTCACTGCAGTTTTTGAAAGGACACACAATGTGACAGAGTCGGAGTTTCTACTAATTTTCCTCCCCTCTGTGAGTGATGTATCATCTCAGATGTTATCTCATCAGAGGTTCTGAAGCTTTGGAAATCTAACTCTTTGAAACAAAGAACTGCAGATCAAATCAAATGCAAATTATGAGGTTGCATAATGGAGTCTTTAGAGCTTTTTTATATAAAGAATTATGTAATCTGCAAAAAGTAACACTTGTACTTCATTCCCAATTTGGGTGCCTTTTATTTATTTCTCATGCCTGACTGCTCTAACTAGGATTTCCAGGACTATGTTGAGTAAGAGTGGTGAAAGCGGATATCTCTGTCTTGTTCCTGATCTCAGAGGAAGAGCTTTCAGTTTTTCACCATTCAGTCTGACATTAGTTAAAAGTTTGTCACATATGATCTTTATTGTGTTGAATTACTTTCCTTTTCTACCCATTTTGGTAAATTTTTAAAATCATAAATGGATGTGGTATCTTAGCAAATGCTTTTTCTGCATTTTTTAAGATCATCTCATTTTTAGCCTTTTGTGTGGTATATCTCATGGCTCCAACAAAAACTATTAGAAACAGTAAACAAACACTTCCAATGGAAGAGGAACTGGTTCATTTGATATTTTCCTTCAGAGTCTGTTACTCCTGTATTTAGAGCTCCAGGAAGCTGCTTTGTTTGTTTTTCTCTGAAATAAATCCTTTACAAAATAACCCTTAAAAAATCTACTTCCATGTGTATTTACAGAGTGCTCTAAAATTTTAAGCTCAACCCAACACATTAGAGCTGAATTTCTGCTATTAGAGAAGTAATCCTGTCAGTCTACTTGACACAGTTGTGAAGCTGTTATCTGTTCTTGGGGAAATGGGGAAGACTTCATGTGAAAGACAGATAAGAATTTGAGGCAAAACCCAGAGAATTCTCTTTAAGATCAGAGATCAGTGAAGTGGAGGAAAAAAAGAGACAATCTTGAGTACAGAGGGAAATCCACTGACCCCTTGCTAAAGCATGGTGGTTGAAGCTTTGGAAATCTGGCTTATTTGCCCCTGCGGCCAGACTTGATAATCATATGAAAGAGCAGATTAAAAAGTTACCTGTGAATTTTTAATGCAGGGTACCTCTACCTTCAAATTAGTTTATCCTCTAACTTATCAGGTAGTGTGAATCTTACTTACTCCTCCTCAAACTAATGAATTCTTAAGAACCCTCATGTCTGCAAACAATCTCCCCATTATTCCAGAAATCCAATGAATCAAAAATCATCTGTAACTCTTGCTTTTATCTTATATTTTTGAGGCAATACCTTCCAAAATTTCTTCTTGTCTATAACTGCCTGATCTTCCCATTTTCTCCATGTCATTGCTTCTGACATTGCATAAGTCCTCACCTTATAAGTTTTCTTTATAAGAGACATCCATGTTTTTCAAACATTCATTCTCATGTATTCTCAAGCATTCATTCAATAACTATTTGTTTAATAAGTGCACATTATAATTGGTCCAAAATACTGGGGACTTAAGATAAATGAGAAAGAGAAAATAACTTTTTCTTTAATAATTTGTAGATGGAAGATATAGAAAATGGATAAATAAGCCATCAACAAAATAATTTCAAACATTATTTGCTCTGAAGAAAATTAATATTGAATTTAATGAGAGAGGGGCATAATTACATCACAAGCAGTCTCTCTAAGGAGGTAGTATTTGAACTGGGGCCAGACTATTTAAAAAAAAAAGGAATCTATCATGGAAAAAATTGGGATAGAAAGTCTAAAAGTTAGAATAGTAAACACAAACCTCTGAGGAAGGCAAGCAAACCTGTGATATGCAAGAGATATAAATAATGGGCACATGTGGTTGATATGTACATAGTAAAGGTGAGACTGGCCTGAAGCATTGTGAGAGAAAGCATAAGCCAAATAATGTAGAACTTGTCTTTAGTGGTAGGGAGTGAAAAGCCATTAAGGAATTTTAATCCTGGTAATGACATATTCTGAAAACCCTCTGTATTCCTTGCTAGTTTAATATTCCAAGAATATTCTGTTCACCACAACATTACTTTGCTCAGGTGTACTTTATTGCCTACCAACAATGAGTTGTCATCCTTTCATCTATTAAAGAGCTGAGTTATCCGGGCCTGCCTGTGTGCAGCTGTGTGTGTCCATATGTATTAATTATAAAGCTGTTTCAATTATGTTAAACTGACAAAATCTAGATCTAAATCCAGGCCCCTAAGGGATAAAGAATGTATCTTCAACCCACCACTCCATCATCAATATCCTTGAGCCCTATTATTCAGATTCAGAATAATAGATGAGGGTTAAGAAAGATAAGAGGTTGATTGATTGAAAATGTACATAGCTCTCATTAGTTGACTGACTGGGTAAAAAGGTCTAGTGCCATGAATAGCCTCTGTTTACTCTGTTTAGGGGCATAATGAGAGGCCATAGAGCTTAGAAGGACCAGTGCTGTTGACAGCCTATAACTACAATAAATCACTGGTATCTCATCCTTATTGTGGAGACATAAGGTGAGATTAGAAGGTAATTCATAGGGAAAGTTCTGATCACTGTGTGGAGGCAAGAGTTAAATTTGCCAAAAAAATGACACTCAAACTTATGGAGTGTGAAGGTTCTCAAGCCTTTATATGAGAATTTGACTCAAGGACTGAAGGTCAAGTCTTCTTGAGCAAACTAGCAGTAACTCCTCCAAAAGTGATTCCATTAATGCCACTCCTACCCAAGGATCCACAGGTGAGTGCGTGGCCTCTTCTTGTTAGATTTACAGGGCTGGGAGCTTTCAGTCATCTACCATTACCTCCTTCCTTCCCATCCACCAGATACCATGCCTCCTCACTCTATCTTTGCTCATTCTTTACTTTTTGCAGACCTCACTGCTCTTCTTGGGTTTAGCCCACTAGAATCCATGTCTAGTCTCTGCAATTTTGAATTTACATTTGTGTGCATTAAGCATCTCCCCTCCCAGTATTATTACTTGAGTCATTTAAAATTATAAAAAGATTTATTGTTTACTCTTGTGGATAGCAATAGTAAAAAAAAAAAAAAAAAGGGAAAAAAAGAAAGAAAAAGAAAAGCTAATAACTTATTTATTTATTTATTTATTTATTTATGGCTTCCCATTACTTAGTCTTTCCTAATACTCTACCTATGTGTACTCTCTCCTCTAGTTCCAGATAGACATTTTCATGCAAGTCACCAAACCCTAGCTTGCTGATTTAGACTCTGAGCCTTTGTTATTATCATATCTCCTACATGAAGTCTTGGACATTATTTCCCCTTAAAATTTACACAATATCTTAATTCTAACTTATTTTTGTGTATGTTATATTCAACCAGATGATAATGCACAATGATTTCATGTGTCTTAGCGTTGGCTCCCCAGTAAGAAAGTGGAACCCTTCAAGAAAGTGCAGGCTATTGTTGATTAATAGAGACTTTTTCTGGAATGCTCCCAGCTATTCCTCAACCCATCTTTTATCTCCAATTCTATCTCATCAGACATATGACAAGTTAAATGATTTAAAATTCAAGTTAGAGTGAGTTGAAAAAGTAACCCAAGCCTAGACCTGGATCCCTATAACATTTTTTTTCTTTAATTTTTATTAACTGTATTGGAGTGACATTAGTTGATAAGATTATATATGTTCCAAGTACACAATTCTATAATACATTGTCTGCATATTGCATTGTGTGCCCACTACCCAAAGTCTGAACTCTGACATGTACCACAAATCTACTTTGTTTTTTCTTAGGCACTGCTGACCACCTCCTTCTTTCCCCTCTACATAAGATTTTGTCACACTGCATTGTAAGTGCATGCTCACGTAATTATCCATTTCCCCACCCCAGAAAACTTTTAACCATCTTGCCATCCTCCCACTCTAGAATCCTTCCACAATGCACACTTCTCAAAAAAGCTGTTTCTTCTTATGTCTCTCCCCACCCCTTAGCCAATGAACCTCTGCTCCTCTAACACAAGAGTAAAAGATACAATATAAATTCTGATTATGGAATAGAATGTGCTTTATTAAACAGAAGTTGTGCTGTCAAGACAAAACCCCAGTTCCCATTTGCAGAAGGAAGGTAATGGGGACACAAATGGGCACTGGTGAACTGGAAAGAGGACTCAGTGGTACTTGTGGGCCATGGCATTGGCAACACCAGCCACCAGCTTCTGCCAAGCAGCCTGCACATCAGGGGTGAATTCCTTGCCAAAATGAGAAGCCAGAACAATCACCATCACATTGCCCAGGAGCTGTTAGGTAAAAGACAAAATGACAAAGATGCATGTTGAGTAGAAGTTTCCAACACAAATTGTAGAAAAAAGAATGGCTTAATAGCAAAACTCCCAGCCAACACTGAACATTAAACTCCTTATGCATGGGCTCTCAGAGTGAGGTTAGTTAAAGTTTCCAACCATTGCCAGAATAAGCCTCCACTTGGTCACAATACCAACAAGTAACTGAACGTATTTAGACGACTTGTATTTTTGAGACAGTCTGTCTAAAAATCTTTCACCAAAATCTCTTCCTAAACTTCAATCATCAGGGACCACATAAAATAATGCATTTCTGCTTCCTTGAGGTAGGACTTTACCTACCAAAAGCCAAATTCCTTTCCTCCTTAAACAAGTTTGCTGTTCTCTGATATTATTCCCTAAGATAAACACAGTTCTGACAAGAGTTTCTGAAAAGTTTTAAGCAAACTCAGGCTATTCATCACTCTTTAGTGTGACTAGTTCTGAATCAAGGTGGCCTTGGTTATGCCCACTGGAGGCCTGCCTTCCTAACCCCATGACCCATAATTTATGAGATCTTTGTTAGTTTTCCCAAACAAAGACTCAATTTCCATTATTATCCCAAAAGTTAAATAAGAAAAGAAAGCACATGAACATTCTCTGAACTCACCCTGAAATTCTCAGGATCCACATGTAGTTTGTCGCAATGCAGCTCACTCAGCTTAGCAAAGGCACTCTTGAGGTTGTCCATGTTCTTAATAGCATCTCCAAAGGAAGTCAACACCTTCTTGCCATGAGCTTTGACCTTGGGGTTGCCCATTATGGCAGAAGAAGAGGACAGGTTGCCAAAGTTGTCAAAGAACCTCTGGGTCCAGGGGTAGACGACCAGGAGCCTATAGGATGGAACCATAGCATATGGGCAATCAAAGACTCAAAAATCTTAAACAACTTTCCTGATCAATTTTCAAGGCTCGTATTCACCATCCTCACCCATGCATTGAATCCCAGTTCCTACCTGCCCAGCACTTCGCCTCCAGCCTCTTCCACATTCACTTTGCTCCACACATTAGTGACAGCAGCCTTCTCCTCACCAGTAAAATGCACCATGATGCCGGTCTGAGAGCTTATGGAGATCACAGAGGTGTCAAAAGCACGTATGTCTGCTGCTGGAAGGGGTAGCCTTTTATTCTTTACTGCTCACCCCCTGGCCCTTTGTTTTCCCTAGTACTTGGAACTGATTGGTTAAGGCTGAGCTGTCCTTGGGGGTGGAGTCAGGCCAGAAAAGGGTCAGCAATGAAGAGGGCACTCTGGTTTAGAACGTGGTTCCTGGGATATTCTTCTTTTGTTGACTCCCTTTTCATTCTCAGCACAATATTTTATCCACTTCCCTTTTGTCTCCCCACGTCATTTTCCAGGATGACGTTTATCTCTCCCATTCTCCTTCTCCAAGTAAGACCCAGAGAGAGGAGCTAAACCCAAGATAGGGAGAGAGTTCCAGCCAAAACACCTTAATATTTGTGTTAAGGATAGTGACAAGGACAAAAACAGGGTCTCAAGAAAAAATACAGCCATGACTGGGTAGCTCAGTTCATTGGAGCATCATCCCAGACATCAAAAAGTTGTGGGTTTGATTGTAGGTCAGGGTACATGCTATGGAACTATAGCAGATGGGAAATCAAAGACTCAAAAATCTTAAACAACCTTCCTGATCCAATGTCAAGGTTCATATTCACCATCCTTGCCCATGCATTGAATCCCAGTTCCTACCTGCCCAGCACTTCACCTTCAGCCTCTTCCACATTTACTTTGCTCCACACATTAGTGATAGCAGCCTTCTCACAAAAGAAGGATGCCTCAGGATTCCAGGTCATGTTTTGAGTTTGTTTTCCCATTGGGCACTTGCAGGAAGCCACCAGTCAGTGTTTCTCACTCTCTCTTTTTCTTTCCTCTCTCTCTCAAAAATTAATAAATCTCTCTCTCAAAAATTAATAAAAACATATTCTCAGGTAAGGATTAAAAAATATAATTGACACAGAATCTCAGCCAGTTCTCTCTGCATCTTAGTTTTCCAAGTGAGACAAAACACATATATGGTTACTTCAGAAAGCTGAAGAGAGTAGTAAGGGATCCACAATAGGACTAGGACCTTAATTCCAAAGTACAATACCTGAGGGTGATTTCACAGAGAAGAATGACAGAATACACTTACATCCCATGCTTCCCAGGAATCCTCTGTCTGTCTATTTCTCTGTGACTATAAAAGAAACTGGCTACTTTGGGGATATAGCTCTGAGCTCTCTTCTTGATTTTCTGTCCTACTTATACTCTTTTTACAACTTATTTTAAACCAGGATTTGTCATCAAACTAAGGAATAGATTAATTGATGTTAATCAGGCTAGGAGTTGGAGAACAGTTTAATGTTTGTTGTAGCCATAGATGTCAGAGACTTTAAATTTTTTTAGTGTCCTTGGTTTTTTTTTTTTTATGCTCTTGTTGTCTTGGGCTTCCCTAAGAATTCATCATGAAACATTGTCTGGACCTGTCACTTTTTCAATTACCGTTCACTGTTGTTATACTCAAATCTGGTTGATATTATTGGTGAGGAAAGGTAGAGAAGCATCCTAGGTGTATAATTAAATCTGTCTTTTGTGGATCAGTTTTCCTGGGCTGTCACCTTCACATGCGTTATTTAGTTTTTTTCTCCCTTAATCAATTTAGGAAAGACTCCCTGGATTAGACCACATAGCCTAGCATGACAGGATTCTTGGGTGAGGAAGAAGATATTTGATCACTGAAGTAGAAGAACAATGAATAAAACAAGAAACAGTTGGCTACTCGGTAAAGAATAATCTTTGGTTTAATACAAGGTTTTTTTTGTTGTTGTTGTTTGTTTGTTTTTGTTTTTAATCCATAGAGATAGAACTCTAGGTTTCCAAAGAAAATTTTCTATAGATCCACAGTGTGAGGAAAATGACTTTTCTTTAGACCTTGGGCATGAGGGTCAGACATTGCCAAAGCCCAAGGAACAAGAACCAAGTCTCTCAAAACCAAGAGCTTGGGAAACAAGTCTCTCTCTGAAGCAGATCCTATGAGTACGTCCCATTCTCCTTCCAATTCAGAGTGTGAGCACCAGTCTTCTCTTGGCTTCAGATTATGGTGTTGATCCTCTTCCTCAACCTTCACACCCATTGCAAAGCCCATAACTCCTCTACTAGAGGCTTTAGGGACCAGAGCTGGCTGGCCTCCAGGGATCTGGCTCATCCTTTGCTCTCTTATCACTAAAGGATGTGGGAAAGGACTGTAAGGAAAGGTTATAAGGCATATTTGTAGCTCAGTACGAGGCTTATGAATTCTGATTCTGAAGACAGCTGAGTGTAGTTTCATCAGGGGTTTGTTGATTCAAGCTAAATTATCTCAGATGCCCATTTTGAAGTATTTTATGTATTTCTCCTATGGAATGTAATGATTATTTTCTTCCTTTCTTGAATGAAATACCCAAAGTTTAGAGAGATAAGTGACATAGTTATCCAGGATAGATCAGAAAGATTAAATGGTCAGAAAAGAATAGTAATTTATTGCTTATAAAGTGGAAAATTAATAAAATAGTAGCATTATATCTCAAGGTACTTAAACAAAAAGACTTTTAAAAAGAAACTCTGATGGGAGATATCTGTAATACTATCAATAATAAAAAATATATTTAAAAAAAGCAAAAAGCAATGACCTACTAGTACTAAATAATGCTAAGCCAAGTAAATGAAATAATAAATATGTAAGAATTACTAATTAAATCAACAAAGAGGAATATGGAATATACAAAAGCATATACATATAAATTTATTATAAAATGTTTTTTACATGTATAAAAATAGATCAATAGAATTCAAGACTTGAAAACAGTAACTGCAACTTGACTTGAAATTTGTACTGTTTCTATCATTAATAAAGTTATGGCTTCTTGTGGATGAAAAAATAAACTCTGAAATTTGTTAAGGATTAATTCCTGCCTCCAGGGTATTCAGTAGTAGCATTTATACATTTGTAAGTGCTGTGCAGGATTTTAATAAATGGCAGATGCCTGTTTTGAACTGGAATAAATCAAGTATTTTCTTAAATGTTGCTAGCTAATATATGACATGTGTACTAATCCTAGAAGTCAAATATTGTATTATCTCTAGGTGCTCTTAATGTGGAGAATTGTATAAAGTATATTGTTGTTAGGTAAAACAGGTCTTTAACCCTACTGCACATTTCATACTATTATCTAAGAAAAATACGTCAAATGTTATTCTTCACCACAAAAGAGTTCTTTTATTTTTAAAATAGAAAAATTACAGACAGGGTTTATAAATCACTGAAAGTACAAAACACTGCTTAGATTTTTAAAAGTTCTTTATTGTTTAAAGTTTTATGTGACTCTCCTTTTCCCCCATTGACCTCTTCTTGGCTGCCCCCACCCCCAGCACATGCCCTCACTCCCCTACTGTCTGTGTTCATTGGTTGTGCTCATATGCATGCGTATAAATCCTTTAGTTGATCTCTTACCCCTCAACCCCCACCTTCCCTCATAGGTTGGACAATCTGTTCAATGCTTCTATGACTCTGGTTCTATTTTTGTTCATCAGTTTATGTTGCTCATTATATTCCACAAATGAGAGGAAGATACTTATCTTTCTCTGACTGGCTTTCACTTAGCATAATGCTCTCCAGTTCCATCCATGTTGTTGCAAATGGTAAGAATTTCTTTTTTTTTTTAAGCAGCGTACTATTCCATTATGTAGATGTACCACAGTTTTTTTAATTCACTCACCTGCTGATGGGGACTTAAGCTGTTTCCAAATCTTAGTTATTGTAAATTGTGCTGCTATGAACATAAGGGTGCATATATCCTTTCTAATTGGTGTTTCTGTTTTCTTGGAATATATTCCTAGAATGGGATTACTGGGTCAAATGAAAGTTCAATTTTTAATTTTTTGAGGAAATGCCATACTGTTTTCCACAGTGCCTTCACCAGTCTGCATTCCCACCAGCAGTGCACGAGGGTTCCTATTTCTCTGCATCCTCTCCAGCACTTGTCTTTTGTTGATGATAGCCAGTCTGACAGGTGTGAGATGGTACCTCATTGTTGTTTTGATTTGCATCTCTCGGATGATTAGCGACTTTGAGCATCTTTTCATATGTCTCTTGGCTTTCTGAATGTCCTCTTTTGAAAAGTGTCTATTTAGGTCCTTTGCCCATTTTTTGATTGGATTGTTTATCTTCCTTTTGTTAAATTGTATGGGTTCCCTATAAATTTGGAGATTAAATCCTTATAGGAGATAACATTGGCAAATATGTTCTCCCATGCAGTGGGCTTCCTTGTTTTGTTGATGGTTTCTTTTGCTGTGCAGAAGCTTTTATTTTGATGTAGTCCCATTTGTTTATTTTTTCCTTACTTTTAATTGCCCTAGGAGCTGTATCAGTAAAGATATTGCTACGACAAATGTCTGCTATTTTGCTGCCTATAGCTTCTTCTAATATTTTTATGGTTTTCCATCTTACGTTTAAGTCCTTTATCCATTTTGAGTTTATTTTTTTGTGTATGGTATAAGTTGGTGGTCTAGTTTCATTTTTTTGCATGTATTTGTCCAATTTTCCCAGCACCATTTATTGAAGAGACTGTCTTGACTCCATTGTATGCTCTTGCCTCTTTTGTCAAATATTAATTGAGCATAATGGCTTGGGTTGATTTCTGGGTTTTCTGTTCTGTTCCATTGGTCTATGTATCTGTTCTTGTGCCAGTACCATTCAGTTTTGAGAACAGTGACTTTGTAGTATAGCTGATCCCTTGATTAGAAAGAATGTCAGTTCCTCTGCTTCCATTATCCATCTGAATTTATGTTCTTATAATAGAAATAGGTGGGATCAAAGGTCCTATTAGGTGTTGCATTAGCCCAAAATAAATTGGGAAAAAAATTCTTGTAGTTGCCATGAAGGAACCAATGAACATTTTCTAGTATGATTGCACAGAATGAGAAAATAGACCACAACCTGTGGTTAGGCAGCACTACTACTTTCTAATCACAGTCCAATCACTGAGGTGCACACCTGAAATTAATAAAATAAT